GCTTTCGCTCCCGCTCTCTCTCTCTCTCTCTCTCTCTCTCTCTCTCTCTCTCTCTCTCTCTCTCACACACCTCTTCTCTCGTCTTCTCTCTACCCTATCTCTCTCTCTCTCTCTCTCTTCTCTCTCTCTCTCTCTCTCTCTCTCTCTCGTCTCTCTCTTGCTCTTGCTCTCTCTGCTCTCTCTCTCTCTTTCTCTCTTCTCTTCTCGTCTTCCCACACACAACACACACACACACACACTCTCTCTCTTTCTTTATCTCTGTCTACAATCAACTCAATCATTCTCACGACGATAAACACCCTACATTCTCATACAGATATCAAACACTACAATCGAGTCTCACAGATTACAAACTATACACACGGAGTATCACTTTACAAGAATGTACACTGCGTCACCACGGCAACGATCAACAACGGACGACGACCCTTCACTCGAGAATGTACACTACGTTGCCATTGGCCCGCACGAACCTCGACGCCGACGCGACCCCGCTCACCTAGCAGAAGTGTACACTCACGTTTGCCATGGCGACGACGCCGACCCCGTCACGAGCAGAATGTACACTACGTCGACACGCGAGACGACCTCGACGACGGACCAGGCACTCACAAAATGTACACTCGCATGTCGCGCCACGGCGAACGACCTCGATGACGACGTCATCCCCAGGTCAGACTCGCAGGAACTCGTCATCAGCGAACAGACTGTCTCGTTCTCGCTCGTAGTTCGACGTCCATCCGCGCTCGTTCGCCACGGCAACCGCGTCCTCGTCGTCCGTCTGTCCGACTCCGCAGCTGCAGGGTCGCTGCTGATGTTCGGCGTCAGCCGGCCGCGTGCACGCCGCCGTCGCCGTGCGACGCTAGCCCACAGCATCCCCGTCCGGCAAGAACGACAGAGTCCGGCGCGCGGCGCTTGTCGGTCGTCGTCTCGTCGGCGACAAACGCCTGCGAGTGTGCTCGACGCATCCGGCCCGCCGAAAGTCACGCGGCCGCCCCTACTGCCGACTGCGTCGGCCGTCGTCGTCGTCGTCGTGCCGGGCAACACGCGCCCTGTCCTCGAAAACTCGCTTGGCAGACGACTGTCGTTTGTCGTACCGCGATCGCTTGTCGCTGAGCTTGATGGTCGTCCTCGTACCGCCCGGCGCACGCTGATTTCGCTCCTCCTCCTGGTCCATGGTCGTTCGTCCGCTCCAGGTCCCTGCGGAGCAGACAGCGCCAGGATGCATTATGTTTTGTGATTTATTAATTATGCCTCATTAATTTGTTATGTTCTGTGTGTCTGTTATGTACGTAACCGCTATTTCATGGCAGCCATAAGAATGCATTGTATAACACATTATGATAGAATTAATTCTAATAATAACGTGTATATAAAAATTAATTATAGAATACATCGTAGATGAAGCAGGCAAACGTTATGTGGTAGGAAACTTGTATGCATTGTATCATAGTAATTTTAGTTTTGTGCATTTATTAATTATGCTTATTAATTGTCTATGTTCTGTGTGTCTGTTTCTTATTGTACGTAAACCGCATATTCATGCAGCATAGAAATGATTGTAATAACACATGTATGTAGAATTACATATATAATACTGTAATATAAAAATTAATATAGATACATGCTATATAAAATGAATATAAAAGAATACAATGATATAAAATGCATATAGAATACATGTATATAAAATGCATATAGAATACATGTATATAAAATGCATATAGAATACATGTATATAAAATGAATATAGAATACATGTAGATGAAGGCAGGAAAGTTATTAGAACTGTATGCATGTATATACAAATCAAGAGCTAATAAATAGCTAATAAGGTATTTATTCGCTCGTGATAGAATGCATATATGAGACATGTATGTAGAACGAATACATAAGACAATTTGAGAGCTTGAGATCGACGTTGAACAGTATCTGCTCGCTGTGTAAATTATGTTGCTGTTTACGAGCATAAAAGTCGCATGTCTGTCGTGACATCATTGATCGCAAGTAGTTTAGAAGGCCTTTGAAGTTTGTTTTTTTCCACGCATCTTCGATAACTATGAACGACGCGTTCTAAATTCTAATTTCCGTAAAATGCTCGCCGGTCTGTTGGGCTGCTGCCGTTCTGTACATATATATATATATTATATGTAAATGTATCATAAACGTACAGGAGGTAGACCGGGCCTGTTAGAGGGTTACTCTTCGTCAACGAAGGAAGCGGAATTCCTTGTAGATCATGTAAGTTAGTTACGTATGTAATTCGCCATCAGCATTGTCGGAGATATTCCGAGGAAAGGACTAATGCCAAGGTTGGGTCATGGGCATTGATGTTTTCTCAAAGCTAATTCTGAAAGAAGTGGGGTTTCTAAGACCAATGTAGTGGTATTGCGAGTGTTGTAATGCTTGTGCTTGTCTTATGTACATATGTCTTCTTACTTCGGTCAGAAGTTTATCTTTCATGTAAAACCTAAAGTGGATCTTTGGGCGTTAATTGAAAGCACCTGTGTTTTTATATGACTTGTTTTAACGTGCGCACAAAAGCATCGATGAATATATGACTGTGTCATCTACGTATTATGCTACATATATGTCCACATGTTACGCGTCTGAACGTGGTTTTTTGACAGCTTTACCGTGATATTCGCTGCAATGGCGTACGTGTCATAAATAAACAGGCCTGTCTATATAAATTATCACTGTTTTTCGTGTATCTCTTCGCGTTTACGGCGTATGGTGGACCACAGATGGGTTTCACCAGCGCCTTAGTTAGAGATCTCTGTCTAAGGCTTTGGGTTTCACTTTCCTCTCCAGAGATTGGAATCACATCGATTAGAGATTAGATTATGGGCACATGTTCATGCTGATTACTTTTTAACCACATATAAGCATTTTATCCCTATTTCTTGTCCCTATATTTGCCAATTATCCTCTTTCCATGTTGATTACTTTATTTTAACCCTAAAGTATTTTATCCCTATTTCTTGGCGCCCCCTCCCCTCATATTTGCTCAATATTCTCTTCCCATCTTCGTAGAGTACTTCTTGTCGCGTATTCTCAAGGTTATAAACGCCCCGTACCATACTCGTAAAAAGAAATATCCGCCTCGAAAAAAAGAAAATGTCCTCCTCCTTCTTCCCGCCTCCCCTGCCAGCCCCGTCTGCGTGATTTCTAATCAAAATCGAGTTAAATCGAATTTCCTTTCCTGCAGTCGATGATGGATCTCTGTCTGAGGACGTTTGCGGAGAAGGAGGAGAAGCTCATGCGGCTGGAGAAGGCCATCAACCCTCTCCTTGATGACGACGACCAGGTCGCCTTCTCCTTCATCCTCGAGAATGTCACGCAGAAGCTCTACCAAGTGCCAGACGTAAGCAAACCTGTACAGTGCTGCCATCTGTCGACGTGCTCGTCAGTTATCTCATCCGTGTTGTGCAGCCAATAATGTGCAGTGATGTAAATCGACATTATAATAGAAATATAACTTGACTTTGCCCGTAAATTTTGGCGCTATGTATGTTGCGATTTTGGATTAAACGTTAGTGGATTCCATTTTAACATGTAAAATGGAAATAACTTATAATATAATGGAGATTACTTTCTCACATGCTGTTTCAGTCGTGGCCGTTCCACAAGCCTGTCAACAGGAAACTGATAAAGGACTACTACACGATCGTTAAGACACCGATGGACCTCGATACCGTCAAGATGGTAACCACCTTTGTTTCGATTCCTTTTACATTGCGTACAGACTTTGATTAATTGAGCTGCGAATGAAATTTGACCGTGCGAATTGGGAAGAATGTTCTGCCAGCACTTCTCAGAAGTGCCACATTGAAAGTTCTCTGCGCTGCGCAAGCAAATATGCGTTCCCTTGTTGGCGTGGTCGAAAAATTCCGACGGAACAATTCCAGAGCTCGGGGGGGGGGATGCACACATTATTCATTGCATATTTTACGCATTTTTGCCCGATTTGCCCGCATTTACAATTGTGTAGCGCACGTTACTTACAAAAAAAAATCGCCAATGAGCATGGTGTCGTGTGACGTATGCTGCATCATTTGTTATTTTCGTTGTTGTTTGTTTTCTTCGTCGAGCAGAAGCACAAGCAATCGCAATTATTGGTGGCATCGCGCGATTGTTCTTTCATTATCGTTGTTGTTGTTTGTTTTCTTCGCCGAGCAGAAGCTGCAGAAGCACAAGTACCGCACGCGCGAGGACTACATGACCGACGTCGAGCTCATGTGGATCAACAGCGTCACGTACAACGGCGCCGAACACGCGTTCACCGCCATCGGTGCCAAGGTCATGGAGCTAGCCAAGGAGGAGCTGAACGTGGTGCGTGCGTGTGGGGGGAGGGGGATGGGGTGGGTGTGAGTGTATGTGGGAGTGTGTGTGAGTGAGTGTNCCTTTCAATGTCTCTTCTTTCTTCTTTCGCGCTCTCTCTATCTCTCTCTCTCTCTCTCTCTCTCTCTCCCTATTTCTCGTCTTACACAATTCAATCCCCATAATGACAACCACGAAAAAATACACGAAAGATAGCAAGCGTTTATGATCATCATCGGGTGCGATAAAACATGGCCGTGTTTTATTATCACTAGGTCGGCTTCACACACAAGAAAACCCTTCAACAGTACCATCACGTCAACGCCGCTAATATAACGAATGCTTCCTATAAATAATATTATTATTACGCTCTGGCAAAAATGGATTACATAACATTACTCTGATTTACATAACTCTTTGCGCACGCACGCGGGGGGGCTGCATTTTAACAATAAATAACTGCGGGTGTCGTTAGTAATTGATTATAATATCGATTATCGGCATCGTCACTATTTACACATTTTGGTGTTTCATCACAAATATAATAAAATAAATATAAACTCTAACCGTTATTCGTACCCCCGCCGTCGGCCCCGGGGGCACGCTGGCGCTAACCTCCGCGTCCGCGGGTGGCTAGCATTTGCTATAGTAGGCAGTAGCACAAGCAGTCGCATCGACGTCCACCCCTCCCCCCCCCCACCTCCCGCGATACCGTGTAACGGCCCCTCTAAGTATTTACTGCACACCTCGTAGTATGTTGTGCACACGGGCAAAAGGTGCAGAATGTGTTACAAATACGCGCACGGGTATATATGTATATATATATAATATATATATATATATAAAGAGCTAATAATACATTACAATACAATACAATAATATACTAACAATACAATAAGGTATTATTAGCTCTTGATATATATATATATATATCACTCGTTCACGAACACGCAGATGTGTGTGCTTGATCAGCGGAGGCAGACGCGCGCGCACACACTGGTGAAGCCATCATCACGGGCTTCAGTTTTACGAGGAGTCTCTTCCGTTTATGGCTTCCGCGCCAGCCGCTCTCGCGACCATCAAACCCGCGCTGAGCTGATGAAGGGGAAAACTAGACTCCCCATCAAACCCGCGATAGAGGAAGAGATAAACTAGGCTCTCCTGGTGGCTAGACGCTGCTGCTGCTGCTGCTGCTGGTGCTGGTGGTGGTGGTGCTGGTGGTGATGGTGGTGGTGGTGGTGGGGTGGTGGCAGTGATGCTGCTGCTGCTGCTGCTACTGCTGCTGTCGTTATATTACGGGGCTAGCATCGCCTGATTGAGATTTACAGCCGCGTGTCGACGCGAAGCAATCATGTTGAAATTCACTGCCGAACGAGCGTCGCCTCCTTCACGTAGCTGCACTGACACCCGCAGCTACACTCTCTTCTCTCTCCCTCTCTCTCTCCTTCTGTCTCCCCCTCTCTTTCCTCTCTTCTCTCCATCTCTCTCTCTCATTCTCTCTCCACCTCTCTTTCC